ATCTCCAATCTCTTATTACTTAGGAAGAAAGGGAAGGGGAAGGGGAAGAAGAAGAAGAGGAGGAGGAGGAGGAGGAGGAGGAGGAGGAGGAGGAGGAGGAGGAAGATGATGATATTAAGTTTAGATTTGTCTTTTCTAGAACTCAAACTGTCTTCAAACCATTATCAGATATTGATACCAAGAGGAGTATTCCCACTTTTCTCTATTTATCAGGTGCCTGCAAAGTAAAGGTGCCTGCCATCTTACTTAAATAATGCAAAACTGTGGAATAGTAAAAAAGAATAGTTAAATACAATGTCTCAGTTTATACATCTTAAAATTCATTAAGGTGAAACTACAAATTATATATATATATAAATGCTACAATTTTCTTAAGAGCTGTGGTGGCACAGTGGTTAAAATGCAGTAATGCAGACTAGCTCACTCCAGGAGTTCAATTCTGAGCAGCTCAAGGTTGACTCCCCCATCCTTCCAAGGTCAGTAAAATGAGAACCCAGATTGTTGGGGGCAATATGCTGACACTGTAAACCGCCTAGAGGGGGCTATCTTTATAGATAGCCACTATGAAGTGGTATATAAGTCTAAGCGCTATTGCTATTTCAGAACACTGCAGATTCTTAAAAAGAAAATAGCATTGGATATTTCCTTTACTGTTTATTTCTGTATTTTCAAACTTTTGTTCAGACCCATAAAATTCATATGATTAAGCTCAGTTGTGAGTCAAAGGGAACCATCCCAAAAATTATTTTTAAAAATCCCCCCGTGTGAGAAAAGTTGATTCTACATATTCTGGAAAAGTTAGAGGTATTTTGAGGTGATTATTAAATCCAAGCAGATACCATAGTGAGGTCTGTGTAAGTTAAGTATTCTGGAATGTGGTTGAGAAGAGCACAGATGATCAAAGACAGAATCACATTGGGAAGGACAGAGGAACCGCTAACTCAGCTAATTGACTTAGAGTGATGGTCTGAGAATAGAAACAAATTCCCTAGCTATAAAATATTTAAGGAACACAAAAAATGTTATAATATAGTAACTGATGTGGTAATTATAGGAATTCTGCTGAGTGGAGGTCCTTCCAGACTGAAAGAAACCTCACATTGCATCCATGCTAAATTTGCTCACTTCCATGCTATAGATTCCTTATTTATCAGATTCATATTTATCATATTATTTATCATATCTTTTCAGTGCATACAGAATTTTCCTCACTTTATTGTTATGATCAGCTTGTAACATAAGCTAAGGCAGGGGTGTCAAACGTGATTGCATTGAGGGTTGCATCAGAGTTGTGTTTGACCTCGGGGGCCAGGGGGCATGGCCAGGGTGGGTGTGGCCAGCTTGACATCACGTGTCGAGGCTCTGTTTTTGGCCACAACGGCCTCCTGCAGCCCTCTGCCAGCAAAAATGGAGCCCCGCCCACCGAGCTCCATTTTCACTGGCAGAGGCACCATAGGCTGGTCCTTCACTGTTTCCAGGATGGGCCCGCCGGGCAGATCTAAACACCACATGGGACAGATCTGGCCCGTGGGCCTTGAAAGTTCATTATTGGCCAAGATAACTAATGAGAAGGAAGTATGGTATAAAACAAATCTTTTAATACTTTTACTTTCTTCTCCTACTGGGGATTGACAATCACAAATGCTACTTGTTGTTCTGAGTACTTTTATATTATTAACTGTAAAAAAGTATGTTTCTAACAAAATATAGTTTTTTTCAAACAATATATGCAAAAAATTAAAATCTCAGGTGTTTTCCCGCATCATTGTAAATAAGTTGGTTAAAATATTTAAAATCCTGGTTAAAATCCCATCTTAAAATCTTCTAAAAATCCTTACAGAGCACTCTGCAAGGTCCTTTAAAACCTCAGCTAAAATCCTACCAGTGACTTTAAAAGTTTTTCTTATAGCAACGTTTCGACAGGCTCACAACCCTGTCATCTTCAGGCTCTGTTTCATTTAGAAGCTATGGGTTCTCTGTTACGAGGTCGGAGCTGTCGCTTATCTATATTTGCTGCTGCTGACGTGTGCTGGCTAGCCTGCAACTCTGTGTCCCGATTGGAGGACAGCAGTTTTTCTTCCTGCTTCCTCATCCTAGCTGCTTGGCTTCGTGTTACAGGCCCAGCTTTCTCAGATTCTCTATTATTATCTGTCTGCTGTAGAGGGGAAAGGATTCTGGTAGGCATCACAGCACCCTTGATTGTTAGTTGAGATCTCAGCCTGTCTTCTGGCTCGATCCACTCTCTCTCCCTATTGCTAGCCACCCTCTGCAGAGTGGGAAGAATTCTGGTAGGCCTTGCAACATCACTGGTTGCTTGTTGGAATCTCTGCCTCTCTTCTGATATTAACACTCGAGTTTCTCTCAGTGCAGGTCCCCAAATACTTGATAACCTAGAGGTGTCGTCTCGTCTGTTCATATTCTGCGGCCTCTTTTCAATTTCGATGGCCTCCCTGATTATTCTTTCGTTGAGATGTTCCTCTTTCGCCACTGTTCTGGTTTTATTAAAATCAATATTGTGTCCTGTGGCTTTCATGTGTTGTACCAAAGAAGAAGTTTGCTCTTCTTTCCTCACTGCATTTTTATGTTCTTCTAAACGCACACTTATTCGTCTATTTGTCTGTCCAATATAAGATGACTGACAGGAGGCACCTGGCACTTTGTATATCCCCTGGTTTTCCAACTCAATTTTATCCTTAGGGCTTCTCACCATCATCGATATTTTTGTATCTGTACGGAACACTGTTTTTATTTTTTGTTTCCATAATATCTTACTAATTTTATCGGTGGTCCCTTTTATATAGGGCAGGATGGCAGTTCCCATATTCTGTTCTTCTTCTTGGGTTTTGCTCTGTCCTACTGTCCCTTGCTGGATTATAGTTCTAATTCTATTTTCGTGGAACCCATTTTCCATTAATACTTCTGTGAAGGTCTTAAGCTCTGTTTGTACATGTGCCTCATCTGCTAGACGTTTAGTTCTAGTGATTAAAGTTTTTGCCACTGAACTTATTTGTGAGGGATGATGGTGTGAGTGTGCGTTCAGGTAACGATTTGTATGTGTCTTCTTTTGGTAAACACTGTGTCCTAGGGTGCCACCAGTTCTCTTATATATTAGTACATCTAGGAATGGGAGTTGATTTTCCTTCTCCATTTCTATAGTGAACTTTATCTTCGGGTGCATGTTATTCAAGCAACCAGTGGAGTTGCAAGGCCTGCCAGAATTCTTCCCGCTTTGCAGAGGGTGGCTAGCAATAAGAAGAGAGAGCGGATCGAGCCAGAAGACAGGCTGAGATCTCAACTAACAATCAAGGGTGCTGTGATGCCTACCAGAATCCTTTCCCCTCTACAGCAGATAGATAATAATAGAGAATCTGAGAAAGCTGGGCCTGTAACACGAAGCCAAGCAGCTAGGATGAGGAAGCAGGAAGAAAAACTGCTGTCCTCCAATCGGGACACAGAGTTGCAGGCTAGCCAGCACACGTCAGCAGCAGCAAATATAGATAAGCGACAACTCCGACCTCGCAACAGAGAACCCATAGCTTCTAAATGAAACAGAGCCTGAAGATGACAGGGTTGTGAGCCTGTCGAAACGTTGCTATAAGAAAAACTTTTAAAGTCACTGGTAGGATTTTAGCTGAGGTTTTAAAGGACCTTGCAGAGTGCTCTGTAAGGATTTTTAGAAGATTTTAAACTGGGATTTTAACCAGGATTTTAAATATTTTAACCAACTTATTTACAATGATGCGGGAAAACACCTGAGATTTTAATTTTTTGCATATGCACACCTGTGAATATTTAAGAAGACATATATATATGTTTGTCAGCAGAAAAAAGGCCCAGAAACTTGTGAATGAGATTTCACAGAACCTAGGGCTGTAGAACAACTAAGTTTACGTAGGTAAAACCTGGCTAGAAAGAATATGCATGCATATATATATATATATATATACACACACACACACACACACACACACACACACACACACACAAACACATAGCCTTCCATTGATATAGTGCCTGAATCTGTCCCACCATTGAAGTAGTTGATATTTTTCATTGCCTGTGTTGAAAATATTCCAATTTCCTTTTCCTGATGGTATTCACAATCTATTTCTCCTTGTATTTCTCATATCATGCAAGTTTGGCCCAGGATATTTTAATTAATCTTCTGTAAATCCTCATTTCAAAGGCTTCTATTCTCCAATAATAGTTTACAGCTGAGAAAAGACCTCAAACTAATACCTTTGGTTCAAGTCCAAATAGATGTAATACACTACACTGGTATAATATTTGAATTCTCACAAGCATTAACTTTTAAGAGTTTGCCAACTCTTAAATACACAAAATTACAAAAATACATAGCTTTCATTTATGTGAATAAACAGCAGTTGTGTTACCCTGTCCTATTCACATACTGCATCTTGTTGCGAACCTTTCAAATATGACAAACAGCCTTGCTGGATTGGATCCAAAGGTTCTTTCCGCTGATGGAAGAATTCTTTCCATTAGAGAGTTTGTCAGAGCAAGTTAATCTTAGGGTCACCTCCACTAAATTTTTTTGGATTTTACTGATTGGAGAAGTACAATAGAGTAGACATAAGATAAATAGCTGTCATTTCTGTCCGACCTTTTATACAGAACTGATGTTGTGACTCCAACCCCCGAGCCTGTCCTAACAGAGGGAGAGGACTCAGAAGGTGAAGGAGAGGATTTGGCAAGGCCTCCCTCTCCAGGACCCTCCTCTCTGGCAATGACTCAGGTTTCCTCTGGAGGCCAAAAGATATGCCAGGAGCAAGGCACTTCGGAGCAGCTGCAGATAGAGAGCGAGGGGGATGAGTTTTGGCTGGATCCCAGACAGCGTCGGAAGGATAAGTGCGCGCAGCAGAGAAAGAGGCGTGGGCGGGCCAGAGATTGATCTGAGTCATTGGACCACACCCCACAAGGGATAAAAGGGGGTGTGTCAGCTATTCAGGCCTTGTGACGGACAAATTGAAGAGCTCGGAAGTCATATCGTGTTTCTAGAACCCTGTTAGAATCTCTTTTTGGATTTCTTCGGACTGGATTTTGACAATTCTTTGCTTTGTGGAATTAATTTGGTATATCGGACTGAGGAGAAAAAACCTCCCTTAGTGAGTAAAATCTCTTGGTAGGCAGTTCATGGTTCGCTGCCAAGACTGTTATCTTAAAGGAATTCCTGAGTGTTTGATTCATTAACACCTGGCTGTCTGTTTGTGTGTGTGCATGAGATGGAGACAGAACAACTGAAATAGGTAAAATGTACACCAGTTATCAAGCTTCAGCAAGCATTAACATTTACAAAAAACAGACATCTATTTGAGTTTTCTGTTACTTTGTTTGGAATGCTTTTCTCATATAAAGGTAAAAGTTTCCACTGCCCAGTCATGTCTGACTTTAGGGGCATGGTCATCTCTGTTTCTTAGCTGAGAAAGCTAGTGTTGTCCGAAGACACTTCTGTGGTCATGTGGCCAGCATGACTATACGCTGAGGCATACAGAATGCTGTGACCTTCCCATCAAAGTGGTACCTATTTATCTACTCACATTTGCATGTGAGTAGATAAAACTGCAAGATGGGCAGGAGCTGGAGCAAATAATGGGAGCTCATCCTGTCACACAGCGCTTGGGTCTTGAACCTGGACCCTCAGCTTTCCAACTGACAAGCTTAGGGTCTTTAACCACTGAGTCATCACACCCGCCTTTCTTATACAATATATGGTATAAAACAATCCTCCTGTGAACAGAAAGTATTTATATACAGCTTTGGACTCAATTAAATGCCATTGTTTTGATATGTACTAAGAAATTCTGGCTTTTGGTGACTGAGATAATTAGAATTGGACAGATGATTCTGGAACATAAATATTCCAGATTATGTATAGTAGGTAAGAATAGATATACAAACTGAATTATAAACCCAGTACACACTACACAGCTGTCAATCCATTCATAACTATTATGAAATATTATACATTCAGGGCTATCTACACATGCAAGAATAGCTAGTACCTGTGAAATCCATCATAAATATTCATCGAATTAATTACCCAACTTTCCATTGCTGCAATCGTTTTGACATTCATCAAGGACACAGCTGCTTCAGAGTGTCTCTATAATTAATATATACTTAGCCACTATAAAATATAAGAATTAATTATGCCCTTTAAAGAATTCAAGGAGCACTTCTTATTAAGTCCTTCTCTTGATCAAAAGAGAAAAAAGCTTTATTCCAATGGTATAACTTGTTTTAGCTTTGAACTTTTTCTATTTCTATAATAATGGTCTGGTTATAGAAAGAGATGTTACTTACAGCTTTTGAGGATGACAGTATAAGGATCTATTCTGCTATACTGTACAGAGTAACATATATCCTAAAACTAAACACAGAGCGGACAGCCACTTGTCTGCAATGGTATAGGGTCACCTGCTTGAGGAGGGGGTTGGATTAGAAGACCTGCAATGTCTTATTCTGTATTCTGTAAGAAGTAAATTGGTTTCTTTATTGTATCTCCTAGCATTTATTTGCACCTAGGAAAACTTACTCACTGAAATCAGATTTTTTTTAAAAAAAATTGTTAAACCTTCTCAGTTCTTTTATCCCTCCAAGTTTATGGGAGAGAACTCTTGGCTTTGTCTTCTTGATGTTCACAACTGAGACATCCAATCTCTTTTTATCCAACTTCAGTGATAGCATAAGGAAAATTGATTTTTCTTCATGCATACATAAATCTATTGCAAGTGTGTGCAGCATAATGATTCTCATATAAAAGAACTGGCTGTTACATCCTGATGGGAATTATTTCAAATGGGCTCTGTGTTCTTCAAACTGATGCCCTCCAGGTATGCTGGGTTACAAATCACAGAAAATCCTATCCGACATGACTGGTATTACAGGAATTTCAGTTTTATATATAATATTGGTATTAGCCTTCAAGGCAGTCCAGACAAAAAACACTACCAGGAGTATCATTACTTTGAAGTAAGGGGACATTAAACAGAATCTTGCAAGAGCCCCTCCTCTCTTTTCAGTCTATGGAAAACTAATGAGGGGCCCTTCTGAAATGCTTCTCAAGCTTCCCCCCACCTGCAGACAGAGCTCTCTCTCTTTTCAGACTGTTGCCTAGACTGCAGTCCTTTCTTCTGCCTCCCAAGGTCATTTGCACATGCCATCACTATAGCTGAACAGTTGCTGGATGGACTATGTTTTATTGTGGTGCATGCTGGAAAATTACTGCTAATTACTCTTTCAAAAAGTCTTGTTAGGAAAAGGAAACCAAATGAATATGTCAGGAAAACCGAAACATGTTTTACTTGAATACTTTCAATTTTCCTTGAAAAGTTCAAAGGGTCAAAATAAGAGAGCATGTGCATAGCTGTTTGCATCTTTCCCTAGTTTCCAAAAGTTCAGCTGAGAGACCTGAACAGGAACTACATTCGCATTGGTTTAAGTGTAAATAGAGCTACTGTTGTCACCCAGAACATTTTGTATTTAAATCCTGGCTTAAGTACAAAACTTTTGAACATAAGTTTTTCCATTCAAAACAAATGTAAGTGAAATTTTCTTTTAGACTTTGTGCTTGATACATGGATAATAATAATAATAATAATAATAATAATAATAATAATAATATAAGGGTGAACTATTCATTTTTCCTGTTTTCACCCATTTACATGTTCAAACAAATGCTCCAAAAGGCTCACATTGACATTGACTCATTTCAAGTGCGGAAAGGAATAGAACATTGTTATACCATTATATTATGGTGTAGATATTAATTACACATTATCAAGACTGCAAACTTCCTTTTATGTTATATATAGATAAACATGGAATGCGCTAGCATCATTTCAAATCATTATTTGTAACTCTACACATAATTCTATTACATGTTCATTTATGTTTTAGTATCTGCTGATATATATTCAAAACTATATTTAAATTGTATAATTATGCTAACTATATACCGGTAGCATTAAGGTGAACTTTATAAGTAATATTTTAAGTCATCAATTATCAGTAAAAAATGTGGTCAGTGAAGAAAGTATAGTTATGGACTTATTCAGGCTATTAAAAATAGCTGAGCTATTTCAACTGTTGAAGTCCTTGCCTAGTTATTTAGACTACAATTTTTCTAGGGAACTGGCCCTGGTCCTGAAATGAAGCTTATCATTCTGCTATGACTAGGTATGTAGCTGACAACTAGCTTTAATAACAACTGCACCAAGGTCTAGCAATTAGCCTTGATCTCAGAAAAGCTAAACAGGATCTAATCTGGTTAGTACTCAGATGAGAGATTCGCTAGTAATCCCAAGGCAACAGAATAGAGTGGGAATTTTTTAAAAAAATATTCTGGAAGAAGGCAATAACAAATGATTTCTTAAATTTTCCAAGTAAAAATAGACGTGTGAGTATGAATTGAGCTCAACTTGATGGACTCTTCATTCCCCCACCCCCTTTATAATGAGTCCATAGATAGAAAATGTCCTACCTGCATAATAACATCAGGTATCACTCTTAAAAACAGCATCTGAGTTTAGAAGCTGCACTGTCAGCATTGGAAAGAGACACTGTTTAAAATACTGTATCTGAGCACGCTTAAGTATCTAAAATACCATGTGTGAAATCATCCTATTATCTTCTCTACTGCTTCCCCCAGCTACAACCAATCTTCAGAAACAAAGCCTCAAAGTCCGATTTATTCTCTCTCTTCTATACGTTTTGCTACTTCTTTCCTGGACATCCCTCCCTTCTCCCCCGCCCCCTCCCTAAACTCTGTCTCATTTTCTTCTTTGACACAGTATAATAGCCTATGTTTTGTAACTCCTTTACACTGTTTTTATTCATCATCACATCTCCAGCTAGAGAGATTAATGAAATTTCAGCAATATTAAAACATTGGAAGCTACCATAAATATATTCAGAAAAAAATGATATTGTCATTTAGAAATGGTAATAAAGGGCCAACTATTTCCTTTTTCTGAAGACTCCTCTCTTGAACCCTAGGAGAAGTGTACCAGCCTCTCAATTTGTCCAGGATTTAGATACTTATTCCTAAAGGGCAGCTAGCTGTACATTAAGTCCGTTCACTTTATAGGAAAAACCTATAAATGAAATTATAACTTTATAAATGAAATTATAACACAATAATAATCATAATAATAATAACTAAGATCCTAGTGTTCTTAGATTAGGCACTTTCTGAATTTATTTGAATTTGTTATTCAAATGTTTATATACAATGAGTTATGGAACATTTTCTCTAGAAATTAGTAAATAATTTGTATTCATTTCAGGTTCACTTGAATTTGCATCGTTGATGTCTACGGTTCCTGATGCTGTTTTATAAATAATACAAAAGTTCTATAAATACCTCCTTCCTTATTTTAAAAAAATCAGCAACATAAGGTGAGATAGATTTAAATCTTTCATAATCAGTGTATTATAAGCAGGACTTGGTTGTTTAGAGAGGAAAAACTGACAGTTCATCTTCCTTTTAAATTATTTGTGAAAGCCACATGGGGATTTTAAACAAGATGTCTTAATTAGTGGAGGCCAAAATTTTTGCAGGCTAAAAAGTTATTATGCAGATATATTTTGCAAAGGGATTCTTAATCTGGCCTTCTCAGTCAAAAAAGTTTTCTCCATAGAAATTACAGAAAATTCATCAGATTAAATCAGAGGAGTATGCAAAAGTTATTGTCTGAAAAGTCTAAAATTCCTACTGGCTCAGGAAGTCTGGGAGTTGAAGTCCACAAGCCATAAAGGGCCATTGTTCCCCACTTCTGTTATAACGTTATAGAAAATGTATACAAGGGCACCATAAATTTTACTACTGCAGGGTTTTAATCCTTTTAACAATATCTACAGTAGCTATGTTACTGGGTTATAAATGAAATATGCAAGGAATGGCCTTTTATAAATTGAATAGTTATGGGTGACAAAGATTTCTTAATGGACTTTTTAAAAAGAAATTTCAAATGGTTCTCTTACAGTATCATTAATGAATAAATTAATGTGCTGTTGAATCCAGGAATAGATGAAGCAATTGTATTACCTCTTACATTGCATTATTTTTTATGTATAAACTTTTGCATAGAATGGGTTTTATAGAAAATAAAAATCTAAAAATCTTCTTACAATCTAAATCTGTAAAATGTTGGGTTGAATCTTTATTTAACTATATTTAAGTAGATGCACTGCTAAAACCTATAATTAAATGCTGTACAGCTTAAATTTCATTGATTTTGGTCTCTAAATATGGATCTTGGATAATAGATCAACCCCTTTGCAGTTCCCCTCCTACATAATTAAGAACTTGATCAATTTAATTTTCAGATATTTACCTAGGACATTTCATTAAGTTACTGTTGTTGATTTTTGGCACATGTATCAGAATTATATAGGAAGATTTCTGTTAATATGGCAGAAAGTGAGATGAAACCCTTGCAAGGTCTGATTGGCTAATGCACGACATCTAAAGGGAGCTATGAGCAAGGAACCAAATGAGACAGGACAAAATACAGGTAGCCCTCAACATATGACCACAACTAAGATCAGAATTCCCACTGTAAAGCAAGGCAGTTATTAAATGAGTTGTGCCCAATTTTACAGCCTTTTTGGTGACACTTTGTTAAAAGACTCACTGCAATTGTTCAGTGAATCACATGGTTGTTAAGCAAATCTGGCTTTCCCTAATAACCTTGCTTGTCAGAAACTGCCTGGGAAGGACGCAAATGGCAGTCACATGACCCTGGCTACTACCGTCATAAATACATGCCAATTGCCCAAATTTTTTATCATGTGACCAGGGGGGATGTTGTAACAGTCGTAAGGGCAAGGATCAGTTGTAAGTCACTTTTTTTCCAGTGCCACTGTAACTTTAAACAATCGGTAAACCAATGGTTGTAAATCGAGAACTTCCTGTATTATTCAGAACCAAAAAGCACATAAGGAGACATGAACAAAGAACAAGTGAAAAAGTAGGCTAGAGAATAAGCAAAATGCAAAATATGTTTTAGCTCTAGAGGCTCATATTGTTGGAAGGACAGCTTGGATGGAAGAAAAAGCTGTTATAACATTTTATTTATTTATTTATTTATTTATTGGTTTGATTTATATACCAACCTTCTCTGGAGACTCAGGGCGGCTTATAATGCATTAAGCAATAGCCTTCATACTTATGTATATACCTGCTTAGTAGGGCTTTCGGTCCCTCCCTAAACGGTGTTCTTTTTTATACAAAGTCAGCTTATTGCCCCCACAATCTGGGTCCTCATTTTACCTACCTCGAAAGGATGGAAAGCTGAGTCAACCTTGAGCCTGGTGAGATTTGAATTTGCAGTAATTGCAGGCAGCTAAGTGCTATTTAAAGGCACTTTAATCCGCTGCTCCACCAAGGCTCCTTAATCTCCTTCTGTCCAGAGAGGCCATTCCTGATTAATGAAGTCAATCCAAAATTCAAGAATATTTCATTGAGAATGTCTTTTGACAAAGAGTAGATTACCCCAAGAAACAGGCAGTACCAGCAGGATTTAACCCTGATTCAAAGGTACCCCCCCTCAAAAAAAAACTTCTAGATAAAAAAAATTCTATGATCAGCTTTTCATAGTTTGTATGGACTGTATGATATCTGGACCAAGGGAATGACAGTAAAGAGTCTAACTGCTATATACCTTTATGCAAAAAAGAATACAGCTTGCCTCGTAATATCTCAGTTCTCTGTCAACTACTATACTTGTCAACCATCATTATAAAATTCATAGCTTTATTTCTCCATGGTAAAAACTTACATGCTTACTCTAATATTTTGCAAATACTTGTAGCCAAGTAGCTTATTGATTTTGATAGAAGTATTTCTAGTCACATTAGATTCCCTGATCATAAAGTGTGTTAAACTTCCATATGTTATACGGAATCTTTTATATATATATATATATATATATATATATATATGTATGTATGTATGTATGTATGTATGTATGTACGTACGTATGTATGTAATAATGCAGCCACATTTAGCAACACCTCCACTTCAAAATAAACGTAGTATTTATTACACCTACAGAAGCAATACCATCAGGCTTTTTACTGCTCTCCTTAGTTAAGAACTGTATAAATGCATTAGAGGGCTGATACAAGCATTTGGATACTATTTTATAGCATACAACTGACACGTAACAAAAAGCTACAAGAGCACTTTTCATTTTAGCACATCATAATATGAAAAAAAAAAAAAAAGAACTAAAGGAGAGTAAATACATCCCTTCAAAGTCAAAACCAAATCTGCAGGAATAGATACAATTTAGCCTTTTCACTGACATAATAATTCTCTATGTTCAGTGGAGTGTTACTTATGCAATACCCCACCAACAGTCTGCAGGAGCACATTTGATTACATTCGTAATTATTATTGATTTGCCTAGAAATTCTTGTTCTTTAACTTAGCTGGGCTTTAGACTACAATTCCCATTGCCCCAGGCAACATGCTCAGTATGAAAAGTGTTGGGAATCATAGTCTAAAGCAGCGCTCCCCAACCTTTTTACTTCCTTGGACCAGCAGTGGCTGGAGGAGGGGATGGTTTTGCACGAGCTTTGTACACTCGCCTGCCACTTGCATGGCCCGGTTCCCAACAGGTTGTGGATCAGTCACAGTCTGTGGACAGAGGTTTGGGGACCCCTGGTCTAAAGCATCAGAGGGAACCAGATTGGAGGAAAACCGAAGTAAAATTTAGCATATAAAGGAAGTAGGGAGGGACAGCGAGAGAGCGAGACCAGCTTCATATTTTAATGTACAAATTCAGTTTATTTGAAAGGATTTCCTCAGATATATGCTCCATTTAGCAACACATAGTTGCCACATGGTTATTATACAGTATGCTATATGTTATTACCAGTACATGCCATCTTGTAGCACATTTTCCTATTTCTATTTTTACTACAAATCTTCAGCCTACATTTGCATAATATTATTTCTATTATTTACAGTTCACATTATGTATGTCTAATAAGGGGAAAGTATATAGCTTATATTCTTAGATTTTATTATAACAACCGGAAATGACATTAAGCATGCATTTATACTTGCTTTATCGCTTACTCCTTGGTGGAGCTTTTTAAAAGCAACAATGCATTTCCAAAGTTCTAACTTCTTTACCCAAATGATGCCTTCTGATAAACCCGGTGCAGTTAGATATAATGACATGAAGCTACACATGCTAAATCAATCAATCAATCAATCAATCAATCACAGAAATCTATGCTTTATAATCCACTTTCAATTTATCAAAAGGACAATCCTTGTAGTGAAGATAAAAGAAGATACTTCAAACTGGTTCTTCCAATTATTCCAGAGCATCTCTTTTCTCCCAGTATAACTAATACTGAGTTTTATAGGTAAAAACTCAGTTGGGTACACTGTAATGTCAGTGACGGATATTTAATCAGTCATCTGAAAAACTAAAGGATAATCATTTATATTATCTTCGTAAAAATAAACTAGATATGTTTAAGTCTTTTTACTGACTATATTCTCACGTTAGAAATTCCAACATTTAATTTTTTAAAGCAGCCACAGATGTGTAGCTACTACAGATGTGTAGCTACACATCTGTAGTAGCTACAGATCTGAAGATACAACGTCATGTATTGTGTGGCCAGCTGAGGGCTCAGCTATTTTTTTTAAAAAAATCTGACTTTCTTTATAGGAAGCGCACCTTGTTTACTATGAAAGTAAAATAAAATCCGTAGTCCATCCTTACAGTGAACTTTGCTGTCTATACATAGTTACTTTAGCTGCAAAGATTTGGGGAAAAAAATGTTGCTAATTTAGGACCTTCGAATAAGAGACTAATCTCATATTAATATGGTGGCTCTGATCGATGAAAGATAGAATCTAGACTATATTACAAATATATTAATTTAATTTAATTTAATTGAGGATATTCCTGCCGATTGGGAACAATGCAAAAATTGTCAAGTTGGCTTTAAAAAAAAACAAAAACAGAATTTGGCTAACAGAGAATTGTATTTGCCTTCTTGAATTGCACATCCAATAAATCAAGATGTCTTTTGTCACAACTCATTTAGGAAATACATTTAATGGGCATAAAGCTTGATATTTAAGCTGTGGCTTTCAATTAAGAGAAATTGCAACACCAACCAGAAATGAGGGAGGAGGAGAGGATCCGCTTTTGTGAATGGGTATTTATTAACAGATGATAAATTCCTAAATGAAATAAATACAATAAAATTAGTAGCCAAGTGTAAATTCTCATAAATTGATCAGTGCGTCTAATTATTCTTTTCAAATAGTTTCTGGAAAAAATATTCTTGTAAGAATCCATGCAGCTATTTTACAAACAGAGCAATTTCTCCGTAAGGCCCAATGCAGTTGTTTCTGGTTTTTTAAGGCAGGGTCACACAATCTTTAGGCTTGTTGGATTTACTCTGTCCTTCACCTGCATTCTCCCGTTCACCAAGCAAGCCGGCTACATAAAAAAGAACAGCTAAGGTTGGTGGACATAAGGAACATGCTGTGTCTGTAATTTCATTTATAAGAGAGGGAGAGAAAAAAAAAACATTTTGACTGTTGCTATTATTAGACAACTGAGAGTAAGAAATGCTTGCCAATCTACTGTTAATCACACAGATTAGATGTCAGTTCATGTTCAGCTCACTGCAGACTTAAATTGAGTAGCAATCAGCTGATGAGAAGAAACCATTCATTCTGGAGCCTGCATTGCCATGATTATCCCTTCAGGCTTCTAATGTTGCACACCTACTGTCACGTTACTACTGTTTGCATGTTAACTGCACCTCTCGCCAATTCTTCATTTTTACAGCTAGCTGCATTACTGGCTGTAACAATGGTGGCTTTGCAATGAAGCATAGTTAAGAAAGCAGCAGAAGGGGCAGGGGCTTTCCCAGTGTTGGATGTCAGAGTTGTGTATTTGGAATAGCCCATCTTGCACTGACCTCATGACAACCACTAGAGTATCGGGGTTAAGGTGCTGGATTAGGTGTGGAAAGATTCTAGTCCTATCTCAGCCATAAAAACTCATCAGATGATTTGGACCAAGCACTTCCTCCCAGCCCAATGCATCTAATAGGATTATAACAGGATAAAAATAGGAGAATGGAGCATTATGTAAGCTAACTTAAGCTCCTAAATGAAAGTCAGATGATTGCAACTGAGATAATCTTCTGACACACACACTAAAGTCAATATTGATGGCTGTTCAATCTCAGGTTTTTTGTTTTTTGTTTTGCAGGAGGCAACGTATCACCTTTTGTCTCAAAGGAACAAGTGTACTAAGCCAGCTGCGCCACACCACTAAGCTCATCCTGCTTCCTTTGTGCCAAACTCATGGCAGTTTTCAAAATCATCTGCAGCTGTCAATCAAACCTCAAAGACATGAGCATTGCACTTGATAACCTTGCTTTTAGAACTCTTCAGCTTTGCAGCCTTAACATTTGGATAGAATTATTTTAATGCAGTCATAACTGCTCAGTCACTTAGGTGAGATAGGAGGGATATAAATTTGACTTATATTTATATAAATAAATCTGCAATATAGGTATTATATAGTAAATATAAACTACTTTTCACCCAGTTCCAAAATTCTGATGGCCATCCTACCCCCATGATCACATTTTGGGCACTCAACAACAAGCCTGCATTTATGGCTATTTGCAGGACCCCATAGTCACATGACTGTGATCAACCATTTTTGCCAGAAACTGGCGTTTAACTTCCAGTTTCTGGCAAAAATCACCCCACAGTGATCAATGGGTTCACTTAACAACTGCTGCAAAAAAATGTAAAATTGTGTCAGGTGACATGATAACCCACGACATACGTAATTGCAGGGCTCAATTATGATCAGAACTTGAGGATTATCTGTAATTGTTTTATTAAAATTGCCATTACAGTCCTGCCACTTGAGGGGAATATGTTATTCCAATCTCTTTTTTGCCCCATCTACAAAGTGTATGCAGATTTAGATAAGCTTCTAATCAAATTATATTTCATATGCCAATGTTACAATTTTGTTATTAAGCCCACAGAGTTTAGCAGCAGATAATAAAATCATTTTTCACTCAAAATAAAATTTACATGCACTCAAACACTCTTACTTTATCACCTTTGGGTATTGCCTAATATTTAAAATTTAATTTCCTTAGGTTAAAGTCCCTCCTAGTCAGCGCTGGTGAATATTTAATGACTTTGCAATGTTCCAGATCAATGGGAAATGAATGAACTGTCCCCTAGGATGGGAATTGCAAAACAGTGAAAGAAACTGAAGCAAAATGAAACATTTCTTGGTGATCCACAATATAATCACATTTGTGAATGGCTCTACTTCTGGGGAAATTTACTAAATTTAGTTTCTGTGTCACTCATTATTTACAAGCATTCATTATTGCTCTGAAAGCTGCAACCTTGCTTCCTTTGTCCTGCCAAATTCTAATAGAGAACTTGATTTTCCATTCCACCAGGACAATTAGCATTATGAAAAGGCCATTCTCTGAAAAGAGTTGCCAAAACTGCCAAGCGTCATGAGGTGTATGTGTGTGTGTATGTGAGAGAGAGGGGGGGGGGGGGAGAAGGAGAGGGAGAGGGAGAGGGAGGGATATGCCTTAACTAGATGATAGTGTTAAGATATAAAAGGTAATATAAAAGGCAGTGTCAGGTGTGAAAACAGTAATTTCAAAATAGCGAGTTGGATCTAACCACGGGAAATTGAAGCCTTTGACATTAGCTAGCATCAAGATATACAGGATTTTTTTGTTGGGATAGGGGCACATAAGTGCAAGTAATTTTAATTTCAAAAGTCTCCTGGGAAAAAAACAGAATGGTATTTGGTTTCGTTTGGTTTGGTTTGGTTTGAAAAGAAAGAAACAAAAATTCAAAAACCTAATTGTGTTTGTTTTATGAAATGTAACTCTCTTCGAATAATACTCTCTATGGATATCCTTGCACAATACAGGGGAAAAGGTTACACCAGAATTCATTTCCATTTTCTACTGCTGATTGCCAGGTATCCCAGGTATTGCCAGATATCCCAGGGGTGATTTGCTACAGAGTCAAACCTTTGAAGGCTATCACTAGTATATTGAATAAAATGGGAAAATAGAAAGGGCAGCTAAAAGTTTATGAGCTTTGCATTTGTAGTTCAGTTTTATACCATTACAGTAATGAGAATTCAGAAAGTTATACAGGCAAGCTTGCATAGTTATTATGGCCTCTGAGTTATCCTAATAAAGATGTGGCTTAAAGATGGATTTCATTTTTTTTCTTTAGGGTCGAAAAGATTATCTTTGATATCTGTTTGACTTGGAGAATATAGTTTAGAGATCTTATTTTGCACAAACACCATGCAAAATGAGGTACCACCAGATCTTGCTTTCATTTGTGACATACTAGTCTTGTCTACATCTTTTCTGTATTATTTTTTTAAAAAAAACATTATGAGAAAGCCTTGATGGATCATCTCAAATGTGATGATGAAGATGATAATAATCCCCCAGTGAGACATTATCTTGATGTGGTTGTGGAACTTTTGTGCTTTTAGGAAGATGAGAGCTATGCCAGAGGTTCAATTATCCAGGACAGGGCTCATCAGAGGAGCCAGACAAAGAGTGTCTCTCCCATAAACAATACAGATAGTCCTTGACTTACAAGCACAACTGAGCCCAAAATGTCCACTTCTAGGCAAAACAGCTTTTAAGCCAATTTTGCCCCATTTTATGATCTTTCTTGCCACAGTTGTTAAGTGAATCATTGCAATTGTTAAGTTAGTTAACATGGTTGTTAAGTGAATCTGGCTTCCTCGTTGACTATTGTGGGAAGCCCACCCCCCTCTCCTAGAAGAATGAAATATTTTGAGGAATATTAAAAAGGCAGGATATTATATTTCCCCAAAGGGAGAAATGGAGAAACATGCTCTTAAGGGAGACAGAAACCAGCACCAGTCTCCCTGCCCCCAAGCAGAAACTGACAAGGCCAGCTTTTAGAAATGTAGATTTGGTAATCCATTCAAGACAGGATATTTCAAAACTCCTTGGCAGAATGGCCCTTCACCCAAGATCCAACACAGGACAAGAGCCATTAGCCACAATAGGAATTGCCCAACACCCTTTCAGAACACAAGCCTCTTCAATGCACCACCCCCAGAACAGTCCAAACTTCAAAGTCACAGAAACCTATAAAGATCCATCCATCCATCCGACCATTTTATTTTGTCAGCTGCCCAGAATCACATGTGGTTGGTCCTGCTTCATCAATAAACCTTTCTTTCCAATCAGCCTCCATGTTTCCACTGTCTTTCTCCCAGCTTGGAACTGAACCAGATGGATTATCCTTCCAACACTTTGCTTGTCAGAGGATGATCACATGACCATGGGACACTGCAACCATCATAAATACATGCCAGTTGCCAAGTGCCCAAACTTTGATTACATGATCACAGGGATGCTGCAATAGTCATAAGTGTGAAAAAACGGTCATAAGTCACTTTTTTCAGTGCCGTTGTAACTTCCAATGGTCACTAAACGAATGGTTGTAAGTCAAGGACTACCAGTGTGGTGAGGTGTAATTTACAGAAATCCATACTGGATCGGTCATTGTCTGGGTGAACAACTATCATGCTAGCTCTTGGAATTCCTGGACTACAGGACTGTTCACTGAGCAACCAGAGAAGTATCTGTAGGACTACTGGAAGAAACGTTGTTTACCCATCACAAACATACAAAGACTGAAAACAAAGAAGTAATGATCTGCTATTGCAAATCCAGTCTGGTGAAAAGAGGATATTTGAAAAGAATGCACCAATTTCTGAAAGAAGAACATCCAGAATTAGAAATAACAGAGCAGAAACTAGCAGATCAACACCAATGACACGAAGAACAGCAAAGGCCTACCCAGGCGAAGTAACTGAAGCCTGGCTAAAAGTAGTTCAGGAGAGGCAGTATAGGTTTCTAAAGGCAAACCAGGGGAAGTTGGCAGTAAAAGAAGCCAGTATTGCTAGTGAACCAGTTTCATTCCCAAACCAGGCAACCCCTCTTCTGACTTCTCCTCAGAAAGAATGAAGTTCTCTAGTTAAAAACAACAACAAGAAGAGGTATTGAAACAAAGAACAACCGAGCATCTAGAACAGCACAAAAAGAATAAGGTTGTCCGCATTGAAGCTTGTTAGAAAGAAACAGCTAGTACAAGTATTAAAAATGCCAATACTGTATAAATATAAGCACCAGCTCACTTCAAGAAATAAACCAACTAATGCATAGAATGGCTCTGCAGGGTAACTGAATACCTTCAATGGGAAAAAAAACAACAACCAACGAACCAGAAAAGCGAGATTGTAAAATAAGATCAGCATGGTATAATCAGATGCAAACAGGCTCGAGCAGATGAAACAAAAGAAGTTGAAGAACAGAACCAAAGAACACCTGATCAAGTAACACCACCCAGAAACAAGAAAGATCAAGGAAACACTAGAAATAATACAACGGCAAAATAACAGCTAAAGCTAAGATCGTCAGCTGCAAAGTTGGAATTGCGCATTATAAGCAGAATCTCCAATTACAGTTGAATCAGAAACATTTCTATCAATTCTTCAATGAAGAGATTCCAATGAACCAATCAACATCTGACAAAGAAGAAACTGTGCAATTCTGGGCACAGCTATGGAACAACTCAAATAAACACAACAAGAATGCAGCTTGGATAAAGGAAGTGGATAAGCTTTTTCTTTTAAAAAAAAACTGAAATAAAAGAGAAGGAAGACCAACTTGAATGTAGGCTTGGATTGATTACAAGAAGGCATTCAACTCTCTGCTATATGATTGATAACAAAGTGTCTAGAAATAACAGGAGTCAGTACAAACATCAAAAGCTTTGTGCAGAGATCAATGGCACAATGGAAGACACAGTTCCTGGTCAAAAGTGATAGAAAGGAATAGATTAATATCAACAGAGGAATCTTTAAAGGAAACTCACTATCACCATTACTTGTCATTTAATTGATTTCTCTGTCAACAATACTGAACAAGTCACACCATGGTTACCAAACATCTAAAACATATGCTAGGCTATCCCAACTCATTTATATGGACAATGTGAAGCTGCATGGAAAATATCAGCTGAAATAGAACTGCTGTTTAACAGGATAGCCACGATGGCGAACCTATGGTACGCATGCCAGAGGTGGCACACAGAGTCCTCTCTGTGGGCACATGGCCGTTGCCACCTGCTCTTCCGGGTTCTGTCGCTTGCATGCACGCTGGCCAGCTGGTCCAGCATGCATGCACACCATCCACCTGCTCTCTTCTGGGTTCTGGCACGCGCATGCATGCTGGCCAGCTGGTCTTCCCTCGAAGACCAACTGACCGGCATGCATGCGCGTGCCAGAACCCAGAAGAGAGCAGCTGGCCACCATGCGCATACGCACTGGCCAGCTGCTCTCTTCCGGGTTCTGGTGTGCGCTCCAGTTTCGGCACTTGCTGACGAAAAGGTTAACCATCACTGGAATAGACAAAACCCCAACAGATAGCAAGTGCCACCTTCTTCTGAAAAGAAGTTGAAGAAACCATGGACTACCTAGTTAGCAACTACAAGGAGATCACACAGATTGACTACAAACAATAGCAGGACAAAATAGCAACAGTGGTGCATTGCAATATCTGCAAGAAATACCATTTGCCTGCAAGCAATAACAGTGGGATCACAAAATAGATAGAGTAAGAGAATGAATAAGGTGCTCTGGGACTTTTGTGGCAAAAGAAAGCAAAGGTAGTACCAACACTAATAGACAATCCTATTGGATGCAATTCTAAAACAACTAGAGCACTACTTAAACACCATCTGCATTGACAAAATCACCGTCAGTCAATTGCAAAAGGCAGCTTTATCTGGAACAGCTTACATCTTGTAACAGTAACTTTTAACACCATCAAATAACAATATATGTCTATCACAGGTCCTTGAAAAAGACTCTATAGGTAGATTCCAGTCTATACATCTAGCTAATTATGCCTAACCATAATATAATTAGTCCTCAACTTGCAACCACACTTGAGCCTAAAATTTATGTTGCTAAGTGAGAAATTTGTAAAGTGAGTTTTGCCCCTTTTTACAACTTTTCTTGCCACATTTGTTAAATGAATCACTGCAATTGTTAAATTAGTAGCATGGTTGTTAAATGAATCTCGCTTCTCCACTGACTGCTTGTCAAAAGGTCTTAAGAGGGGATCACATGACCTGGGGACACTGCAACAGTCATAAATGTGAATCAGTTGTCAAGCATCCGAATGTAAATCATATGACTGAAGGGATGCTGCAACGGTCATAAGTGTGAAAAATTATCATGTCACATTTTTCAGTGTCATTGTAATTTCGAACAGTCATTAAATGAACTGTTGTAAATCGAGGACTACCTGTAATTACCATAGGTCACCCAACTCCACTATCTGGGTGATTTACAAATTGTCAAAAACATTTAAAAAGTAGGAATAAAACAAAGAAACCAAAAACCCCGACAAAAAAATTCCTAATACAAAATAAAGGAGTAAGGATGGCAGGTAAAACAAACACAGATGGGAACAAAGAAAAAGAAAAAAAGAAATGGAGCGCGATGTCAATCACCCTCATCAAAGGCCTGGGTGAATAGCTATATCTTCAGGGCCCTTTGAAATACTAGTAAAGCGAGGGCCATTTGAATCTAAGGGGGATCCTCAGAGGGCAGGCGCAGGAGGTCCATATCTTTGAGTCCATCTGGAGACAACCATGGCATGCCGATAAAGAGCATGAATTATTTTTTTAAAATGACATAAAAAATAGATGTGCTATGTGTCCATGAAACTAAAGGAAAGAGTAGTTATGCTACACCAGAATGAAAATGTGCTGATCTTATGTAACATGACTACATGCACCGAAGTGAAATATAGATTTAATTATAAATTAAAAAGCTAACATGAATGTCATAAAGTATGAATGTTACATGGGCTGCTGTGCATCTGTATGAAGATCAGCAATAGCTACACGTTATGCTCCAGTGAATAATGATAACAGAAGAATGAGATATTTCCGGGGGGAGAGGGGGGAAGAGAGGGGAAATTGTTCAATGTTCTGGATGAATATAATCTAGGGAAAATTATTCTGCTAGGTGATACTAATAGATGCATGGGAATAAGACACAAAAAAGTATAGCTAAAATGACTAGATGATTTAGAGATTCAGAAATATATAACGATGACTGACGAGGATCTATTTTGTTTTTTAAAAAAAGTCTGCTGATTTAGAATATATGGTTTAAGTATTAGCCTATTCACACTTAGCATATGTGGCATGTATATGCTACTAAAACTTGTGTCTGACTGTAACCTTCAATTGGTGCATCATAGGGCAGGGGTGTCAAACTGGATTTCTTCGAGGACCAGATCAGCATTGTAGTTCTACTTCGCTGGCTGTTGGGGGGGGTCGGGGTGGTAAGAGACGGGACAGATGACTCCTACAGCACCCTGCCAGTCAAAATGGGGTGTGTGCACCCCCGCCCCATTTTCGGCCTGGGCGGCTTCCTGTACCACTTTGCCAGCCAAAACGGCACCATGGGCTGGTCCTTTGCTATTTCCAGGCCAGACCAGCAGGCCAGATTTAAGCATCCCGCAGGCTGGAACCAGTTCATAGGATTTGAGTTTGACACCCCTATCATAGGGCAACAAGATTTGAATCAACATATTACAAATGTCAAGCACCAGAAAAATCAGGCGATCCAGGCAGTTCAAATGAGTATAATGTTGTATTGCAACTTTAAGCTTGCAAGCCTAAACTCTCTACAAGAATCTGAACTATTAACGGCCCAACCAAATTGGTGGTAGATAAAAGTCACTGGAATTCACAGTGGGCTGGACTTATATTTCTTGTGGGTGTGAAGGGACTCATTGATGACACGTTTGGCCCCTCCCTTGGGGTCAGCTTGGTCATCTCCTACATTAAATAAGCTAACCTAAGGATGCATCCAAAATCCAAGGGACTGAAATTTGGCAAAGTTGTGACTGCTTCAGTGCTGCTGTGGCCAGGCAGTCACACAACTGTAATTTCCAACACTCCCTGCTAGCTTTCTACAAGTCATTGAGGAAATAGCAATAGCACTTAGACTTATATACCGCTTCATTATGCTTTTACAGCCCTCTCTAAGTTGTTTATAGAGTCAGCATGTTGCCCCCAACAATCTGGGTCCTCATTTTACCAACCTCAGAAGGATAGGCAGGAAATGGAAGTTGTAAGAAATGGGCAGGAAGTCAGAAGTTGCTCCTGCTCTCACTGCATTTCTGCATGCCCATGGTCATTCTGTTTCTCTAAGGCAAGGGAGTGAAACTTGCGGCGTCACGTTGTCGACATGTGATGTATTGTAACTTTTCCCCCCTTCGCTAAAACGGGGGTGGGCGTGGTCAGCACGTGATGCATTCAGCCTGCGGGCCGTGAGTTTGACATCCCTGCTCTAAGGAAATATTTCTGAAACAATGATTCAATAGTAGTATAAATCTAAAAGCATTATTGGTTTGATTTTTTTTATTATTAAGAAAATTAGTGGATGAATTCAAGAATCCTGAGGGTTATAATTATGAAAGAGACTATTAGTTGTAAGAATTCAAGAATCCTGAGGGTTATAATTATGAAAGAGACTATTAGTTGTTAATATCAAAAGTGGATACTAGAGGGTAATAGACACAAAATAAAAGAAACAGAATGAAAGAAAATAGAATGAAAATAGAAATGCAGGATGAGGAAGTACCAATTCTGTATCAAAAAAGTAACTGAAGCTAAACTAATTTTACAACAGAATGAATAGAACATGGACATAAGATTATAGGAGTTACTTGGAACAGAGAGAAAAACATTACACTACTAAGTGGCATAGAAATGTATGCATATATATTTCTATATCCATCTATACATGCATAATGTATCCCCCAACACACACACACACATTCAGAGCTATGGACTTGAAAATAAATGTACCAAAGATTAGTTTGGCATAACCCAGAAATGGAAATAGATTGAAAGTTATATATAAATGGTGATAAATTAGAGCAAGTGGAAGAAATGTGATAAAATGTTTTCTAAAGATGGGGAAATTGATGGAGAAATTTTAAAATGTGCCAAAGGTGGTAGAAAGGTAGTGGGCAGTACATAGTTTGTTGTGAGGAATGAGTACTGGCTGCACATAATAATAAATAATAGAATAAGAGCTATGCATAAGAGCACACTTCTGCCCACACTATTACATACACATGAAATGGGAATGGCTGGAGAAATGTAGAAGTAATTTGAATGCAATGGTGTGTGGGCAGTAAAACAAGAAGCGATGGGCTCAAGAATGAATGGGAGCTTAAGGTATGTGGACTGAATACAAGTGAGTGACCAATATGAAAAAAGTTGAGGTGATTTAGTCATATAGAGAGCATAGAACTGCAAGACAGACACATGAAGGAAGAGTTAATGGACTGAGAAGGATAAGATCAAGCAGTGGTGGCTGGATGAGGTTGATGAAATTGTAAAAAAGAAAATAGAAATTTAAAGAACATCAAGCAACATATGCAGCAGTCATGGATGGATGTGATAAAAGCAAGGCTGGCTTAAAAAGACAGAAAGATATAGAGAGGCACAGTGGAGAGCACTGGTGTTAAACTAGATTTAGCTACACATCCTTCTGCTTACTGTTTTTACTGCTTTTCTGCACTTTACATATTACTATTAGCTTGAAAGTGAACAGCTTGGGGGGTGAATGTCCATATGGATAGGTAGGTGCGCTCCTGAAGTACGCTTCCACTACTTCAATAGAAGTTAGCTTCTCTGTGCATGTAAGTATGTTTGTCATCTGTTTCACCAGTCACTTTCAAAATTATTACAAATCCAAATGCTCCAGAAATGCATAGCAAGAATACTCACTGCACATTGATTCGGATTCATCGGATCCATCTGAACATTCCTCCTCCCCATCGCACTTCCATCTGGACGGGATGCAGTGACCATTGTTGCAGGTAAAATCAGACTCTGCACAAGTCTTCTTGGCTGAAAGGAGAGAAAGAGGGTGTTTTTTTTTTTTAAAAAAAAAGAATAGTTCAATTGGATAGTAAATCATTCTTTTGATTCTAGATGCACAGTAATTACTGTATTTTTTGGAGTATAAGACGCACCTTTTTACCCCCCAAAAGGGGCTGAAAATTTAGGTGCATCTTATACACCGAATGTAGCCCTTCCCACCCACTGGCCCCCACTCTTTGGCCTGTGCCTCGCAGCAGTTACCTTCTTGCAAGCAAACAGCAAGAAAAAACAGCCGCTTTCAGCTTCAGCATAGGTTAATTAGCACAAGTTGATTAGATCGGCCTCCCGACTCTCAGCTGATTTGCTCTCAGCTGTTTTGCGCAGGGCTCTGTTGCTAGCTGCAAAGAGTGCTGGAGCAGACTTTTCCCCCCCTAGCTATGCTGAAAAAATGAAACTGAAAGTAAAGCAGGCTCTGCTGCAATGTGACAAAATGAGGCAGAAAGAGATTTCTTTTTCTTTTTCCTCACCAAAAAAGGTAGGTGCAAACAATGGGAAATTTAGGGCAAAAGAGGAGAGTTCAAGATTTTAAAACACAAAAGAAAAAAGGCTCTATTTAACTAGGAAATTGTAATAATTGAGATACTATTAATTGTATATTGTGTTGAAAGCAGAAATGGTTAAGTTGTGGTTTAGAGGAATATATGGGGAAAATTATTTGGTTTATTATTATTGGTAAATATAATTAATAGATTTGTAAGAAATTGCATTGCATGGAAATAATTGGAATATTAACCAATGTGAGGATGGATATAAAAATAGATGACAATGGGAAGGGGTATAATATAGAATAGAAGGGGAAAATTGAATTTGATTAAGATTAGATATGAGAATGAAGGGTAATATTGTTTTTTTAAAAAAAATAGATGAGGAATAAATATGGCAAAAAGGAAATATAGAAATTGTAAATTTAATTGAAATGACTAAACACTGTTTACATTTGTGAACTAGCCAAATACTCTGTTCAAAGAAAATATATTGTATGTTTGTATGTGTGTTTGTCTAAAAAATAAAAAAACCCTTTTTAAAAAAAAACAACAACCAAAAAAGGTAGGTGCGTCTTATACTCCGGTGCGTCTTATACTCCGAAAAATACGGTAATCAAAACCACTTCTTACATCTCAAGAGCTATATAATTCATTTATTCTCAGATAATATGGAACCAATGTTTTCCCCGGACATGCCTTTACTGATGGAACTTAAGAGCCCAAACAGCTTTGTGAATAGGAGAATGAAAAAGAAAAGAAGCCCCTTAACCTCTTCCACTATTTTATCTATGGATATTGTTATGAGTAAACTATGTTTTCGGAAAGCAATAAAAGGAATAAGATTGCATTGCTTTATGCTTGTCGGCCTTGCTCCCTCAATCACAACAGCTGAATCTGTGCTAAAGTAGTATTTTTTTGTTTTCTTGTGTTTCTGTCAGGCACAAGAAACCAGAAGCCAGGATAGGGTTCAAAAGTACTACAAGTTTATTTCATGCTACCCAGTGGTGGGTTGCTACCGGTTCGCCCTGGATTGGGCGAACCAGTAGCAGCGGTGGCGGGAGGCTCTGTCCACCTGCCTGGACGCTTCTGCGCATGCACAGGTGTGGTGCGCATGTGTGTGAGTGCACCCATGAGCGAACGGATAGCGACAGGATTTTAAACCCACTACTGATGCTACCTATAAACAAGAATCTGAACAACTAACGGTCAAGGCAAATTGGTGCCAGATAAGTATCAACAGAATTTACAGGGTGGTGAGACTTAGTTCTCTTATGGAAACATAGGGATTCCAAACTGATGATGTATTTGACTCTGCCCTTGGGCTCAGCCTGATCATTTCCTACAGTTTCAGTACCATTTTCGATCCCCATTTTAGTATTTAATGACTATGGTCCTCACAGTTTAAGGATTGATATTATACTAGTTAGGCTAGCGATGGCTAACCTTTTTGGCACCGAATGCCCAAAGTGTGCGTGCGTACGCCCATAATGCAATGTGCGTGTGACACCCCTGTGCACCCCCACACATACGTGCGCATTTCCTGCTTGCGCCCTGCCACCCGTGTATGTGCAGCAGAGACCTGAAAACCAGCTGGCCGGCGTGAGGCACACACACGTGTGGCAGAGCTGAGCTGGGGCGATGGCTTGCGTGCCCGCAGAGAGGGCACTGCGTGCCACTTATGGCATGCATGCCATAGGTTTGCGATCACGGAGGTAGGCCATGCTGTCTTTTGCTTGTGTGCAACTAAGATATTGGATGACAAATTGTGATTTTAATATAGATTTTATCTGTTATTTATTATTTTATTCTATAATTTTTAACTGGATATTCCTTGAGTGTTTTTAACTTGTGCTGGTCCCAGGTCTTTGACTATAATAATGATTTGACTTCCACCCCCAACCAGCATTATCAAACAGGAGATGCCAGTAGGTTTGGAGGGCATCAGATCAAGGATGGGGAGGAACAGGCTCAGGCTCAACCCATCCAAGACCGAGTGGCTGTGGTTTCCGACGTCCCGATATAGTCAGTTGATGCCATCACTGACTATTGGGGGCGAATCATTGGCCCCCACGGAGAGGGCTTGCAACTTGGGCGTCCTCCTGGATTCACGGCTGTCTTTAGAAGAGCACTTGACGGCCGTGACCGGGAGGATTTTTCATCAGGTTCGCCTGATTCGCCAGTTGCGTCCCGTTCTGGATCGGGACTCGTTACACACGGTCACTCATGCCCTCGTCACCTCCCGCCTGGACTATTGTAATGCTCTCTACATGGGGCTCCCCTTGAGGAGCACCCGGAGGCTCCAACTGGCGCAGAGTGCGGCCGCGCGGGTGGTAATGGGAGCGACATGGCGCTCCCATGTGACACCTCTCCTGCGCGAGCTGCACTGGCTCCCGGTGGTCTTTCGGGTGCGCTTCAAGGTTTTGGTTACCACCTTTAAAGCGCTCCATGGCTTAGGACCTGGTTATCTACGGGACTGCCTACTACCACCAATAGCCTCCCACCGGCCAGTATGCTCTCATAGAGAGGGACTCCTCCGGGTGCCGTCAGCCAAACAATGTCGGCTGGCGACCCCTAGGGGGAGAGCCTTCTCTGTGGGGGCACCTACCATCTGGAATGAGCTCCCCCCAGAGATACGGAGGATCCCGGACCTCCGCACCTTCCACTGCGCTGTGAAGACCTTTTTATTCCATCAGGCGGGCTTGGCCTAATCTCTTCCCTTTTTAAATATGTAAATTTTAATCTGTTTTTAAATTATTGGGGTGTTTTAATTTGTCTGGGCCAAAATGATTTAATTTGATTTTATCTGGTTTTTTAAATTTTTTGTATCTATGTTATTTTATTGTTTGGCTGTTCACCGCCCTGAGTCCTTCGGGAGTAGGGCGGTATACAAATCAAATAAATAAAATAAAAATAAAAAATAAAAAGGAAAATTATTTTCAGAGATACTTTGAATAGTACATAGAAATAAAATGGAATCCAGTTTCATATTGCTTAGGTTGATAGGCTTCAACTAGGAAGTACGATAAAATGAGGGTTATGAGAAGGAACCAACAAATCCATTACAACTCACAGGGTTTAAAAGTAGTGCAAATATATTGCACAAATTTACTCAGTTGGAATCAGTTGAGCATCAGTTTAAAAATAGCTAAAGATAAAAATTAAATGTTTCCACCTAATGAGATGATTTTATATGTCTAACCAAAGCCCATTTTCTAAAGACAAGAAAAGCAGCATTAAAAGACAGAGGGCCAAATTTTAAACACAGTATCGTATTAATGAACACTGAAAAAACAAACTGTCCCACCTGATAAGCTATCATTTTTATCATAAAATGTACAGATTCCTTATTGTGACATCCTAGGAAATGTTAGGCTTTCTTCAAATAATATTGTTAAGTACAGACAAGCATACCATGAGGAATGGAGTGTATTGTTTCCTGTGCACAAATCACATGAATTATGAATTATCAACAGCAGGTAGTTATCCCAGCGGCCCAGCTGATGGTTATGTGCCAAGGCAGAAAAAATATTGAAGCAGCCTCCAGATTTATGTTCTTATTTTAAAAACTTCTGCTTGACAACCTCAACCTTTTCTATTGATTTATTAGTTAATTTCATCTCAAGTAAGTAGGGTTTTTCCATGTAAAAGCATATCACAGATCTTGTGCTTGCTATGGAGTTATTATTCTGAAATCAGATCAGACAATCAAGTATTATGTGCACTTCAAACGGGAGAATGAAACATCTTCTCCTCCAGATGTTTTAGATAACCAATCCCACACTCCTTTGCCAAGGGTCATGCTAGCTGCAGCTAGTAGTGATTGAAATTAGAATTTCTAGAGCAGTAACTTTCTCAGAACTCTGATTAGCTAGACTTATTAAGAAGATTGAAATAATCACACAAGAATTTCAATCAGTACTCTATTTTTAAATGAAAAACCTATATACCCAGGCAACTTAGTGCCAGTAGATTTTTCTCACATTCTTTCTAAGTAATGGAAAGGATACTTGTCTCTTTGTGAAGGAGGAGGGCAATGCACCTGTGGGTTGTTTTAAAAACAACTATGGCCTTCTTAAAACTTAGAGACATTAGCCTGCCTATATCAGACAGAGTATTATTATGGATTATGGATCTTCAAATGCTACCTTGATTCAGACATGAGTTTCAGAATCGATGAAGGAAATATAGGTTGCTTCTTGCTTTTCTTCATGAAGGGCAGTGGTGGGCAATTAATTTTCCCAAGGGGCCAGTGGGACTGTTATGGAGGGTTGAACCAATGTAACCTGATGTCCTCAAACTCCGTCATCTCAATTCATCAAGTTGTTGCAGGCCAGGGATGAGTACTTTCTCTTTTCATCTTCCCAGGGCTGTCAGTTGACTGAAGGAACGTATGGTGACTGTGCAGAACCAGACCGGACTCGGCTTCTTCTCCTGTCCCCTGCAGTGCATTTATTTATAGCTGATTTCTAATTTCTGATTGAC